GGATCCACTGCCTGAGGTGAATGTTATCCTAATTAATAAACTGGAAATAAGTGATAAATTCTATCCTGAGTGATAAATTCTACCCTGAGTGATAAATTCCATCCTAAGGAATAAACCAAAACCAGGGACTGTGCATTTGGCCTGAACCTCACAGGGCTCTCCTGTGAAATGAGCTTGGGAAATGCTCCAAGACACCCCAAATTCCTGGGAAATAGGGTTGGGAAATGCAAAATCCCACCCCAAAATCCCATTTTTTTACACCTCTAACCCCCAAAATCCTGCCTGATTCCTGCCCTGATGGAGCCAGGGCCTTCCCCCAAGGATGATTCCCCTGATGGTGACAGGAGAGACAACAAGAAACAAAAAAAGCCCCAAAACCACAACTCTGCCTTTGCCCCCACAGATTTCAGGGGGTCCCCACAAACCCGTTGTGCCCCACAAATTTATTTTTACCTGCCAGACACGCCGAGAGCCTTCACAAACGTTTCTTTACTTCCTGCAGAGCGCAAAATCGAGCGGGAAAAAAATAGATGTGAGCAACGATCTCTGCTCACCTGCGGGGCTGGGCGCGCAGCTGACAACGCCAGGGGTGCCCCCGAGCAGCTTCTGCACCCCAAAATCCCCTCTGAACCCCACACCTGCAGCCCGGGCTGGCTCTGAGCTGGTTTTTGGGGCAGCCTGCAAAGGCAGCGGGGCTCGGGGAGCAGAAATTCTGCTGGGGGGGTCCTGAGCTCAAGGCTGAGCTCTGCAAAGCTGGGCTTAAAAGGGGTTAAAAAGGGTTGCAGGGGTATTGGAGCATCCCAATGCCACTAAATGGGGCAGTTTTGGGGTTTTCCCCCATTTCCTGCTTGTCACCCCATCTGTCAACCCCTGTGCGTCACCCCCTGGCTGTCACTGTCCCGTCACTGTCCCCTGTGTGTCACTGTCCCCTGTGTGTCACTGTCCCTTGTGTCACTGAGCCCAGTGTCACTGTCCCCTGTCACTGTCCCCTGTCCCTGTCCCCTGTGTGTCACTGTCCCCAGTGTGTCACTGTCCCCTGTCACTGTCCCCTGTCCCTGTCCCCAGTGTCACTGTCCCCCGTGTCCCTGTCCCCAGTGTGTCCCTGTCCCCAGTGTGTCCCTGTCCCCTGTCCCTGTCCCAGTGTCACTGTCCCCTGTCCCTGTCCCAGTGTCCCTGTCCCCTGTGTGTCACTGTCCCCTGTGTGTCACTGTCCCCTGTCACTGTCCCCTGTCACCGTCCCCTCCCTCCCCGTGTTCCAGCCCCACGGCCCTGCCAGGTTTGTGTCCCTCCTTTGTCACAGGAGCGGCCCAGCCCGATCCCCTGTCACTGTCCCCTGTCCCTGTCCCCTGTCACTGTCCCCTCCCTCCCCGTGTTCCAGCCCCACGGCCCTGCCAGGTTTGTGTCCCTCCTTTGTCACAGGAGAGGCCCAGCCCGAGTGACAGGAGGTGACAGGAGGTGGCAGCTGTGGGCACGTGAAGCGTGGCGTGCCACCCCCGGTGCCCCCGGAGCGGGCAGGGCCCGTGGGAAATCGCTTGATCGAAATTTGAATATTTCCCCCCAAAAGAGCCCCGGCCCTGCTCGGAGCCTGGGGAAGGTCCCGGATCCTTCACTGCTGCTGGAATCGGGGAGAAGCTCCGAGTTCCTGAGCCTTGTCCTGCTGAAACCCCACATCCAAACAAAAACCCCTGAACAAAAGGAAAAAACAAAACAGACAAACAAAAAAAACCCCACAAAAACAAAAAACCAACAAAACCCCAAAACAACAACAAAAATAAAAAAATCCCCCAAAACCAAAAAACCAAAACAAAACAAAGCCAAAAAAAACACAAACAAAAAAAGAACCACCCCAAAACCAAAAAACCACCCCAAAACAAAACAAAACCCCCCAAAAAACAAAACAAAAGAAACCACCCCCCCCGAAAAAAAACCAAACAAAAAACCCCAACCAAAAAAAAATAATAATAAAAAATGTATAAAGCGTCTTAACAAAACCCCAAAACAACAACAAAAATAAAAAAATCCCCCAAAACCAAAAAACCAAAACAAAACAAAGCCAAAAAAAACCACAAACAAAAAAAACCACCCCAAAACCAAAAAACCACCCCAAAACAAAACAAAACCCCCCAAAAAACAAAACAAAAGAAACCACCCCCCCCGAAAAAAAACCAAACAAAAAACCCCAACCAAAAAAAAATAATAATAAAAAATGTATAAAGCGTCTTTCCCTTCCTGCCCACCTGGAGTGTGGAAAACCCGCTCAGATCGGTTTTTGGGGTGCTAAAACCGGATGGAATTCCTCTCATCCAACCCCGAGGACAAATCCTGAGGGGAATTTTATCCAGGATCAAGATTTTAGCCCCCAAAATTTCCTTCACTTATTTTCCCTCTTCCAAACTGCACAGAGAGAAGGACCCCAAACCCCCCAGGCCAAGGGGACCCGCAAAGTCCCCAGGGAGCTGCACGGGGGGGGGCAGGCAGAAAGTTCCAGAAGGAATTCTGGAGAAAGCTGCAGCTGGGAGGGAGGGAGGGACAGCTCTGTCCCCAGGGCGCAGGGAGGTGACAGCACAGCACCTATCGTGGCCTGCCAGCTGCTGCTGCAGCTCCAGCTGCGGCCCTGGGGCTGCCACCCTGGGGACTTTATCGGGATTGTCCCCTCCATGGGGACTTTATCGGGATTGTCCCCTCCTCTGGGACTTTATCGGGATTGTCCCCTCCATGGGGACTTTATCGGGGATTGTCCCCTCCTCTGGGGCTGGCATCCTCAGGGTCAATATCAAGTCCCCAGGGAGCTGCACGGACTTTATCGGGATTGTCCCCTCCATGGGGACTTTATCAGGGATTGTCCCCTCCCTTTTTGGGGCTGCCATCCCCAGGGACTTTATCAGGGATTGTCCCCTCCATGGGGACTTTATCAGGGATTTTTCCCCCCTTTTTTGGGGCTGCCATCCCGGGGACTTTATCAGGGATTGTCCCCTCCTCTGGGACTTTATCAGGGATTGTCCCTTCCATGGGGACTTTATCAGGGATTGTCCCCCCTTTTTTGGGGCTGCCATCCCTGGGGACTTTATCAGGGACGGATTGTCCCCTCCCTTTTTGGGGCTGCCATCCCCAGGGACTTTATCAGGGATTGTCCCCTCCATGGGGACTTTATCAGGGATTTTTCCCCCCTTTTTTGGGGCTGCCATCCCGGGGACTTTATCAGGGACTGTCCCTCCTCTGGGGTGCCATCCTTGGGGTCTTTATTAGGGATTGTCCCCTCCATGGGGCTGGCATCCCCGGGACTTTATCAGGGATTGTCCCCTCCTTTGGGGCTGCAATCCCTGGGGACTTTATCAGGGATTGTCCCCTCTTTTTTGGGACTTTATCAAGGATTGTCCCCTCCTCTGGAGTGCCATCCCTGGGGACTTTCCCTTTTCAGGGATTGTCCCCTCTCTGGGGTGCCACCCTTGGGGACATTTTCAGGGACTGTCCCCTCTCCTGCCCTACTCTCAGCTCCCAGGAGCTGCTGCAGCTCGTCCTGCTGGAGCAGAAACTTCCAGAAGGATCCAGGGCCTGCAGGATTCCCTGCCAGGGTGACTGGGGATGGATTCCAGCTCTTCCAATTTTCCAGTGGAGCTGGGAATTCGGGAGCACCCCCCGGGCCCTGTGGATTTCCTGGGATTTGTGGGATCCGAGAGCTTCTCCCCCGTGGTTATCGAGAGGTTTGGATCAACTCTCCAGGTTTAAAATCCCTTTTGGATCGACCTCTCTGTGTTTAAAATCCCTTTTGGATCATCCTGATTCCCACCCCGAGGGGCTTGGATCAACTCTCCAGGTTTAAAATCCCTTTTGGATCGACCTCTCTGTGTTTAAAATCCCTCCTGGAATATCCTGATTCCCACCCCGAGGGGTTTGGATCGACCTCTCCAGGCAGAAAACTCCACAATTTTCACTTCCAGAGCCTTTAATAACAACAAATTGCCACCAATAACACTTGAACAAACAAATAATATCCATCAAGTATTAAAAAAATGTCTCAAAACTCAAAATAAAACACAAACCCCAACAGCCCCGTGGCTTTAAACTCTCCACGTTGGAGTTTCCATTCCTGGCAGCACAACCCAATGTCCATAAGGGGGAAAAAACCCCAAAAAAATCCCAAAAAATTCCGTTTATTCCCATCCACGTTGGAGTTTCCATTCCTGGCAGCACAACCCAATGTCCATAAGGGGGAAAAAACCCAAAAAAATCCCAAAAAATTCTGTTTATTCCCGAAAATTCTGTTTATTCCCAAAAAATTCTGTTTATTCCCAACTTCCTGAGCACACCAAGCGTTGCTCAGTGTCAAACTGCACCCAACCCCTCAGATTTTACCCAAAAAATTTGGGGGCCCGGAGGAATTTTCAGTCTCGAGTGGGAACTGGGTGGATTTTTTTTTTTTGGGGTGGGATTTTCACAGCTGAAAATCGTCATTAATTTTAATTAACTCAGCGCTGCCGCGTTGGTTTGCGAATGAAGAGGCTCGGAATTAATGAGAATTTCTCGGTCCCAGCGTGCCCTCTGCTGGCAGCGGGAAATCCTGGGGATTTCTGAGGAGGGAAAAGCGCAGCAGCTCCGTCCTTTCATCCTGATCTTCTCTGGGAATTCAGTGGGAATTCAGGGCCAGGGGGTTCAACTGCTCCAGGATTTCCTCTGGAAAATTCCCCACTGGAATTTGGACCCTCAGAGTTTGTTTTGCACCCTGGAAACTCTGCCCCCCTCTCTCTGTGCCTGTGAAAAAAATGGAATTTTAATTCCAGCTGGGAGCAGCCGTGGAATGGGGATGGACACAAGGGGTCAGCAGGGTTTTGCTTCTGAATTCTGCCCCTTTTAAATTGGATTCAGGGAGTCAAAAAATCATGGAATACCGAGGTTGGAAAAGGCAGGAAATCCTGGGAATGAGGGAACCAAGCACAGCAGCTCCATCCTTTGATCCTGATCTCCTCTGGGAATCCACAGTGGGATTTCAGGTCCAGGAGGTTAAACAGCTCCGGGATTTCCTCTGGAAAATTCCCAGACTGAAATCCCAGTCTGGGGTTGGTTCTTTCCATTAAACCAGTCTGGGGTTGGTTGTTTCCATTTCCAATATCAAATCACAATAAATCACAATCAAAATGGGGCATAAATCACAATTAGCTCAGGATGGTCTTTGTGCACTTTCCAGCCCAATCAGCGAGAAAGGAGAGTTAATGAGTGGGGCAGCCTTCATCCCTGGCTCAAGGAGATGCCATAAATCAGGGTGTCATAAATGGGGATGCCATAAATGAGGGTGTCATAAATGGGGATGTGATAAATTGGGATGCGATAAATCAGGTTTCAACGGAGACTTTGCTGACTCGGCAAAATCCTGGCGGCCCTTGTGTCCCGCGCAGCCCCAGGCCGGTTTGGGATGGGCGGGACCGTCAGTCCCGTCTCGTTCCACCCCTCGGGGTATCCAGATGTGCGGGGGGTGGGCGCCTCCAGATGTGGCCCCTCCTCCGCACTACAACTCCCACAATGCCCCGCGCGCGGCCCCGCCTGCACTACAACTCCCACAATGCCCCGCGCAGCAGCAACCGCCCCGCCCGCATCTGGCGCATGCGCACAGCTCCATATGGCTCCAAGATGGCTGACACAGCGTCCGGGAGCTCCGGCACGGTAACGGCGCTTAATCCCCGGGGCGCGGGGCTGTGGGGGCGGGTTCCCGGCGGGTTCCCGGCGGGCCCGGGCGGGGCGGCAGCGCCCGATCCCTCCGGGGCGCGGAGGCGGCCGCGGGCAGGCCGCGGAGCGTGGAGGCGGCGGGTGGAGAGCGGGAGGCGCTGATTGGCTGGAGGCCCTGAGGGGAGGCGGGGTTTGATTGGCCGAGGATGGCGCGCTCCAATTGGCTGGCGGGGGGCGGGGCGGGGCTTGTGGGGGAGTCCTTAAAGGGGCCGCGTGTCAAAAAGCGTCTGGGAGGTTTTCTAAAGACGCGTGTGTAAATATATGTATATAAAAAAATATATATATGTATAGGTACGCGTGCCCACGTGTGTATGTGGGTGTATAGGACACACGTGTGTGCGTGTGCCCGTGTTGCCGCTGTGTCGCCCTTCCCATTACCTGCTCCCCAACCTTTTCCAATCCTTGCTCCGTGTCCCTTCCCAGTCCCTTCTCTATATTCATTCCCCCCGCTCTGTGACCCTTCCTTGCTCCCAGGTCCCTGCTCCCAAGCCCTTCCATTACCTGCTCCCTGCCCCATCCTATCCCATGGATCCCATCCCATGGACCCCATCCTATGGACCCCATTGAATGGATCCCATCCCATCCCATCCTATCCCATGGATCCCAACCCCTGGATCCCATTCAATCCCATCCCATGGATCCGGTTCAATGGATCCCATCCTATCCCATCCCACGGATCCCATTCCATGGGTCCCATCTCATGGATCCCATCCCATGCCATGGATCCTATCCCTTCCCATCCCATCCCTATCTCTGTTCCCTGTGCCAGAGGGCGGGCAGCAAGCAGGCGGGCACCCCCGCAGACAATCCCTGGATTGTATCCCATGGATAACTGTGTTCCCTGGCAGAGGGCGGGCAGCAAGCAGGCAGGCACCCCCGCAGACAATCCCATGGATTGTATCCCATGGATAACTGTGTTCCCTGGCAGAGGGCGGGCAGCAAGCATCCCATGCCATGGATCCTATCCCTTCCCATCCCATCCCTATCTCTGTTCCCTGATCCCAGAGGGCGGGCACCCCCGCAGACAATCCCATGGATTGTATCCCATGGATAACTGTGTTCCCTGGCAGAGGGCGGGCAGCAAGCAGGCGGGCACCCCCGCAGACAATTACCAGCTGGCGCGGCGCCGCACGCTGCAGGTGGTGGTGAGCTCGCTGCTGACCGAGGCCGGCTTCGAGAGCGCCGAGAAGGCGGCGGTGGAGACGCTCACCGAGATGATCCAGAGCTGTGAGTGCCCTCACACAGGGCTGGCATCCTGCCCTCACACAGGGCTGGCAGCCTGCCCCGCGGGGATGGGATCCTGCTGCACACAGGGCTGGGATCCTGCCCTCACACAGGGATGGGATCCTGCCCTCACACAGGGATGGGATCCTGCCCTCACACAGGGATGGGATCCTGCTGCACACAGGGATGGGATCTCTTAGCATCCCCACCCTTTAATTCTAAACACACACCCTGCCAAATGCTCCATCCCAGGGGTTGTTTTTCATTCCCTGCTGAGTTTGTTGAAAATCCCCATCCCTGGTGCTCTTATCCTGCAGATATTTCAGAGATTGGGAGGAGTGCCAAGTCCTACTGCGAGCACACAGCCAGGACCCAGCCCACGCTCTCAGACATCGTGGTGACCCTGGTGGAGATGGGTGAGCAGCTCCCTCTTCCTCTATTCCACCTCTGGATTGGGAAATCTGCCCCCAAAATCTGGGCTGAGCAGCTCCCTCTATTCCCACCTTTGGATTGGGAAATAATTCCCCAAAATCTGGGGTGAGCAGCTCCCTCTTCCCTCTCTTCCACCTCTGGGTTGGGAAATCTGCCCCCAAAATCTGGGATTTGGGTGCTGCCCTCTGCTGTGGCCACACACAGCTGATGCTTTTCCATGATCCTTCCCATGATCTGCTCCCTGGGCCGCCCCATCCTTGTTCAATTTGGAACAACTCTGGATTTTGACAGGATAAATTCCTTTTTTTCCCTCTTTTGTCTCCCAGGCTTCAACGTGGAAACCCTGCCTGCCTACGCCAAGCGTTCCCAGAGGATGGTGATCACTGCCCGTGGGTGGGGGAGCTTCCCTGGGCTCCAGGGGGCTGGGAATTGCTGGGATTCCTCCCTGCTGCCTTTCAGGGAGCTCCTGATGAGCTTTCTGTGGGATTATCCAGGAATTCGGGGCTGCTGTGTTGGGGTGAAGGGACCTGGGTGACTCGGGAGAGCCCTGGGGGGTTTTGTCTGCAGGGCCAGGGGATCCTTTTCCCTTCTGGGATGGCAATCCCAGGTCATGGCATGGCCAGGGAGGGGCTCAGAGCTTTGGGGGACCCTGGGCAGGAGGATTCCTGTGTTTCCCCTGATTCCTTTGTTGTTTTCCCTGGTTCCTTTGTTGCTTTCCCTGATTCCTGTGATCCTCCCTGCTGCCTTTCAGGGAGCTCCTGATGAGCTTTCTGTGGGATTATCCAGGAATTCGGGGCTGCTGTGTTGGGGTGAAGGGACCTGGGTGACTCGGGAGAGCCCTGGGGGGTTTTGTCTGCAGGGCCAGGGGATCCTTTTCCCTTCTGGGATGGCAATCCCAGGTCATGGCATGGCCAGGGAGGGGCTCAGAGTTTTGGGGTACCCTGGGCAGGAGGATTCCTGTGTTTCCCCCGATTCCTTTGGCTATCCCATGGATCCCAGTGCTGTTTTCCCTGATTCCTTTGTTGTTTTCCCTGGTTCCTTTGTTGCTTTCCCTGATTCCTGTGTTTTCCCTGATTCCTGTGCTGTTCTCCATGATCCCTGTGTTTATTTTCCCTGATTTCTGTGTGGGATCCTTTTCCCTTCTGGGATGGCAATCCCAGGTCATGGCATGGCCAGGGAGGGGCTCAGAGCTTTGGGGGACCCTGGGCAGGAGGATTCCTGTGTTTCCCCCGATTCCTTTGGTGTTTTCCCTGATTCCTGTGCTGTTTTCCCTGATTCCTTTGTTGTTTTCCCTGGTTCCTGTGTTTTCCCTGATTCCTGTGCTGTTCTCCCTGATTCCTGTGTTTATTTTCCCTGATCCCTGTGTTTATTTTCCCTGATTCCTGTGTTGTTTTCCCTGATTCCTCTGTTTTCCCTGATTCCTGTGTTTATTTCCCCTCATTCCTGTGCTGTTTTCCCTGATCCCTGTGTTTATTTCCCCTCATTCCTGTGCTGTTTTCCCTGATCCCTGTGTTTATTTTCCCTGATTCCTGTGCTGTTCTCCCTGATTCCTGTGTTTATTTTCCCTGATTTCTGTGTTGTTTTCCCTGATTCCTTTGTTGTTTTCCCTGGTTCCTGTGTTTTCCCTGATTCCTGTGCTGTTCTCCCTGATTCCTGTGTTTATTTTCCCTGATCCCTGTGTTTATTTTCCCTGATTCCTGTGCTGTTTTCCCTGATTCCTGTGCTGTTTTCCCTGATTCCTGTGCTGTTTTCCCTGATTCTTTTGTTGTTTTCCCTGATTCCTGTGCTGTTTTTCCCTGATTCTTTTGTTGTTTTCCCTGATTCCTGTCCTGTTTTCCCTGATTCCTGAGGTGTTTTCCCTGATCCCTGTGTTTTTCCCCCTGCAGCTCCAGTGACAAACCAGCCCGTGACCCCCAAAGCGCTGACAGCAGGGCAGAACAAGCCTCACCCACCCCACATTCCCGGCCACTTCCCAGAGTTCCCAGATCCTCACACCTACATCAAGACCCCAGTGAGTGAAAACAACATTTTTGTGCTCTTTGGGGTCTGTTTGAATCCCAGGAGTTGGGGTGGTTTTACTGCAGTGCTGCTGCCATCCATCCAAAACATTTCTCCTGATCTCACACATTCCTTCTCTGTGGGTTGTGGACATCCCTTGCCATCCAGAAATCAGCCAGAATCCCTGGATTTCTGTCGGATTTCTGTGCTGGTTGGGATCTGTTTGAAGTCCAGAACCCCAGAAGTGGGTTTGGTTTGTTTTTTTTTTACTGCAGTGCTGGTGCTATTTTTCCAAAGTATTGTTTTTCCTGGCTTTGAATGTTCCTTCTTTGTGGCTTGTGGACATCCCTGGGGATGGGATCCTTCCCATTACCTGCTCCCAGAGTATTCCCAGTGCAGAATCCCTGGATTTCTGCCTGCTGGACCCCTGTAACTCTCCAAAACCCTGTGGGTGCTGAAGAGCAGAGCCTGCAGCTGCTCCATCCCTGGGGTGTTTGTTTGGAGTGGAGCTGCCCCATTTCTGTGCAGTTTGGAGGTGGGGATGGAGTGAAGTTTGGAGCTGCAGCTGCTCCATCCCTGGGATGTTTGTTTGCAGCTGCTGCATTTCTGTGCAGTTTGGAGCTGCAGCTGCTGCATTTCTGTGCAGTTTGGAGCTGCAGCTGCTGCATTTCTGTGCAGTTTGGAGCTGCAGCTGCTCCATCCCTGTGCAGTTTGGAGCTGCAGCTGCCCCGTTCCTGTGCAGTTTGGAGCTGCAGCTGCTGCATTTCTGTGCAGTTTGGCCCTGCAGCTGCTGCATTTCTGTGCAGTTTGGAGCTGCAGCTGCTCCATCCCTGTGCAGTTTGGAGCTGCAGCTGCTGCATTTCTGTGCAGTTTGGAGCTGCAGCTGCCCCGTCCCTGTGCAGTTCGGCGCTGCAGCTCCTCCACCGCCCCTCCCTGCCGTTCTCTCCCCGCCCAGACGTACCGGGAGCCGGTGTCCGATTACCAGGTGCTGCGGGAGAAGGCGGCCTCGCAGCGCCGGGACGTGGAGAGGGCCCTCACCCGCTTCATGGCCAAGACTGGAGAGACCCAGAGCCTCTTCAAGGACGATGTCAGCACATTCCCACGTCAGTCACCGCAGGATTTCACATCCCTTGTGGTTTGGGGGTCACCCCCTGCCTGGTGTTTGAGGTGCTGGGTGTGGGAATCCTTAAAATGAGAGGGTTTTGGGAGAGGATTTAAGGATTGCCACAATGGAAGGTTGGGGTTTGGGGGTTAAGATGGGGAGGAAAAGCAGAAAGCAGCTCCTCAAGGTTCACTGTTTTCTCCTGGTGGAGAAGACCTAAATCCAAATCTCATCCCAATCCTGGCTCCACCCCCTGTAACCTCACCCAGGAATTTCTTCTCCCTGACATTTTCCTGCTGCTGGAAGGTTTCCTGTGTCTGCCTGCAGAGCAGATGAGGGTTCCCACCTTCCCAAGGCTTGCTGGCAGCACAGCTTCGTTTAAGAGGAGCCCAATCTCCCAGATCATTGGGAATTTAGGGTGGAGCTCAGCAAGGATTGTCTGTGTTGGAACACTGCTGGAAACATGAAGAGATTCAGAAAATTGGGAGGTAGAGAGTGCCATCTTTTAGGGATCAGGAAATTTGGAATAGAGAGTGCCATCTTTTAGGGATCAGAAATTTGGGAAGTAGAGTGCCATCTTTTAGGGATCAGGGAATTGGGAAGTAATAGAGACTGCATCTTTTAGGGATCAGGAAATTGGGAAGTAGAGACTGCATCTTTTAGGGATCAGGAAATTTGGAATAGAGAGTGCCATCTTTTAGGGATCAGAAATTTGGGAAGTAGAGTGCCATCTTTTAGGGATCAGGGAATTGGGAAGGAGAAACTTCCATCTTTTAGAGTTCGGGATTTCCTTCCTGATCCTTGGGAGCAGCAGGAAGAGGAAATGCACCCAAACCCAGAACCAGCGAAATGTTTGATCTCTGTAACTTTGTCCTTGATTTCTGAGGGCAGGAATTCCTCCCAGCTCCCTGACTGTGTCTCCTCTTTCCCTGCTGGCAGTGATTGCTGCCAGGCCTTTCACCGTGCCCTACCTGACAGCTCTGCTCCCCTCCGAGCTGGAGATGCAGCAGATGGAGGAGACGGATTCCTCGGAGCAGGACGAGCAGACGGACACCGAGAACCTCCCGCTGCACATGAGCACGGTGGGGACCCCCTGGGGGCTCCTGGGGCCATTCCTGCAGCTTGGAAAGCTGCCTCTGCCTCTGGGAGATGGGGAAGAGTGGAACTGGGCAGTGTCAGGGCTCCCCAGTTTGGAAAACCTGGCTCTGCTTCCTGGGAAATAGGAAATGGAACTCAACAGTGACAGGTTCTTGAGCTTGGAATTCTGGCTCTGCCTCCTGGGAGATGGGGAAGAGTGGAACTGGGCAGTGTCAGGGCTCCCCAGTTTGGAATTCTGGCTGTGTCTTCTGGGAAATGGGAAATGGAACTGAGCAGTGTCAGGGTTCTCCAGTTTGGAAAACCTGGCTCTGCCTCCTGGGGAATGGGAAATGGGAAATGGAACTGGGCAGTGTCAGGGTTCTTGAGCTTGGAGAACCTGGCTCTGCCTCCTGGGAAATGGGAAATGGAACTCAGCAGTGACAGGGTTCTTGAACTTGGAATTCTGGTTCTGCCTCCTTGGAAATGGGAAATGGAACTGGGAAGTGTCAGGGTTCCCCAGTTTGGAATTCTGGCTGTGTCTTCTGGGAAATGGGAAATGGGAAATGGAACTGGGCAGTGTCAGGGTTCTTGAGCTTGGAGAACCTGGCTCTGCTTCCTGGGAAATGGGAAATGGATCTAAAAATTGTCCTGGTTCTCCAGCTTGGAATTCTGGCTGTGTCTCCAGGGAAATGGGGAGTGGAGCTGAGCTTTGTCCTGGTTCTCCAGCTCCCTGCAGAGTTCAGGCAGAACGAGGCTGGAGCTTCCAGGACACCCCGAATTTTCAGTTTCCCAGGGGATTTCCCTGCCTCACAAGCCAGGAGGCCTGGCCTCTAATGCAGCTCCTCGTGTGCTTGTTGATTGTCCCTCCTCCCCCGGGTTCTGGGCTTTGACCAGAATCCTGCAACGCTTTGGGGTGTGGGGGACACAAAACCTTGTCCCACGTGCAGGGACACCTTCCCCTGTCCCAGGATTGCTGCAGCCTGGCTGTGGACACTCCCAGGGATGGATTCTGTGAGCAGAAGCATTTCCAAGCCTGACTTTGTTTTTTGTTGTTGTTTTTGCCGTGGCAGGAGGAGGCGGGAGCCGAGAAGGAGAACACCTCAGTGCTGCAGCAGAGCAGCTCCCTGGCGGGCAGCAGGAACGGCGAGGAGAGCGTCATCGACAACCCCTACCTGCGGCCCGTGAAGAAACCCAAAATCCGCAGGAAGAAGTGAGGGGGGACCCCAAACCCCCGGGATCCCCCTGGAATTCCAGCCAGGGAGAGGGAGAGGCAGCCCGGCTGGGGGGGACCCCAAATCCCACAGGAATCCCCCTGGAATTCCAGCCAGGGAGAGGGAGAGGCAGCCCGGCTTGGGGGGACCCCAAATCCCCCCGGGAATCCCCCCTGGAATCCCCCTGGAATTCCAGCCAGGAAGAGGCAGCCCTGCTGAGGGGGGACCCCAAATCCCCCCTGGAATCACCCTGGAATCCCCCTGGAATTCCAGCCAGGGCTCAGGAGAGGCAGCCTGGCTGGGGGGGACCCCAAATCCCATGGGAATCCCCCTGGAATTCCAGCCAGGGAGAGGGAGAGGCAGCCCGGCTCGGGGGGACCCTAAATCCCCCCTGGAATCACCCTGGGAATCCCCCTGGAATTCCAGCCAGGGAGAGGGAGAGGCAGCCTGGCTGAGGGGGGACCCCAAATGCCCCGGGAATCCCCCCTGGAATCCCCCTGGAATTCCAGCCAGGGAGAGGCAGCCCGGCTGAGGGGAGACCCCAGACCCCCCTGGGGAACTCTGCTCCCACCCTGGTCCCCTTCTGCTCACTGCTCCAGGAAATCCAGCTGGGAATTCTCTGGGGAATTCGGCTCCACTGGGGGGGATTTAAATTCTGAAGGGCTGAGGGACACGGGGCAGGAGGGCTTGGATTTGGATTTGGAGGACCAAGGGGTTGGATTTGGAGAACCCAGCCTTTATTCCCTTTATTCCACTCCTCTATTGCCTTTATTTCCTCCCTTTATTTCCTTTATTTTACCCTTTTATTGCCTTCATTTCCTCCCTTTTATTCCCTTTATTTCCTCCCTTTATTCCCTTTATTTCACCCCATTTTTGCCTTTATTTCCCCCCTTTATTCCCTCCCTTAATTCTCTTTATTTCCTTCCTTTATTCCATTTTATTTCCTCCCTTTATTCCACCTCTTTATTTCCTCCCTTTATTCCCTTTATTCTACCCCTTTATTCCCTTTATTCCCTTTATTTCCTCCCTTTACTCCCTTTATTTCACCCCTTTATTTCCAGTATTTCCTCCCTTTATTCCCTTTATTCTACCCCTTTTTTCCCCTTTATTTCCTTTATTTCCTCCCTTTTTTCCCTTTATTTCACCCCTTTATTCCTCTATTTCCACGCCACTGTTGTCGTTACTGGCTGGTTCTGGAGCGCTTTGCTTTCATTTCCCTTCAGCATTTCTTAGGTAAAATAAAGAAGAAAAATCTTCTTTTTTTTGGGTTAAAGAAAACCAAAAAAGGTTTTCTTCAACCCAAAATACGGGTTCAATTTCCATCAGAAAAAGCTCCTGAGCTTTGTTCCAATCTCCCCAAAATTCCAATTTCTCTTCCAGGCAGTGAAAAGGATCCCCCCTCTTCCCCCATCACCCAGGCAGGACAAAAATTTAAAAAAATTTTTTTTTTTCAATTATTTTCTGCCCAAAAAAATCAGAAATTAAATCTCAAACTCTCCCCCCGTGTGCCACTGTCACTTCTGCTGTGCCTTCCTTGTACAGAGAGAAAAATGTACAGAACACCTGTAAATGTTTGTATATATCCCAAATTTTATCTTTTTGTAACTTTGCTTTTTGGTTTCTGCAAGGACAAAAATCCCTTGCTGGGTAGGGGAAGGAAAAAAAAAAGTGGAATGAAAATTGTGGTTTTTATGTTCATAATAAAAGAAATTTTATCTCCTTACGGGCAAATTGTGATTTTTGTGTTCGTAAAAAAGGAATAATAATAATTTTTTGGTAAAGGTATTTAGTATTATTAAATAAAGGTATTTAGTATTACTATGTTCATTAATTTTAAAAATTAATATTAAAATATCAATTAAAATTAATAAATTTAAATTTAATATTAATTCCAAAAAGGAACATAATAATTAATTATGTTCATAATAAAATAATAAGATTGAGCTGAGCTGAGCAGAGCGAATTAAAAACATTAAAAAGCATTTAAAACATGAAAAAGCAATTAAAATATTTGATTTATTTGGCCTGGTGCTGCGGGTGAGCGTCTGCAAATGAAGAGATTTCTCCTCAGCTGTAGTAGAGCTTCAGGTACGCCTCTCTATCCTGGTTTTTCTGGAATTTTTTATCCACGGTCATCTAAAAAAACCCAAATTTTCATTAAAAACAATGTTAAAAAAAATAATAAAAAAACAACAGTGATAATATGGGGAAAAAAAAGGAAATCTCCTCTCTCAAAAGCAGGAAAGGAGAATAAAAGAGTGAAAATATGGAGTGGAAAGGGAATTTCTTGTCTCAGAAGCAGGAAAAGAAAACAAAAATGAAAATCTGAAGAAAAAAACGAAGCAAATATGTGAAAATATGAAGTAAAAAGGAAACTTTCTGTCTCAGAAGCAGGAAAGAACAACAAAGCATAATAAAAATATGAAGTAGAAAGGGAATTTCCTGTCTCAAAAGCAGGAAAGGAAAACAAAACAGAGAAAATATGAAGAAAAAAGGGAATTTATTCTCTCAGAAGCAGGAAAGGAAAACAAAAAAGTGAAAATATGGAGTGAAAAAAGGAAATTTCCTGTCTGAGAAGCGGGAAAGGAAAACAAAACAGTGAAAATGGGAAGAAAAAAGGAAATTTCCAGTCTCAGAAGCAGGAGAGGCCAACAAAAGAGTGAAAATGGGAAGTGCAAAAAGGAAATTTCCTCTCTCAAGGGCAGGAAAGGAAAACAAAAAAGTGAAAATGCGAAGTGAAGAATGGAAATTTCCTCTCTCAGAACCAGGAAAGGAAAATAGTGAAAATATGTAGTGAAAAAAGGGAATTTATTCTCTCACAAGCAGGAAAGAAGAACAAAACAGTGAGAATTTGAAGTGAAAAAAGGAAATTTCCTGTCTCAGGAGCAGGAGAGGACGACAAAAAAGTGAAAATGGGAAGCAAAAAGGGAAATTTCCTCTCTCAGAAGTGAGAAAGGGCAGTAAAATACTGAAAATATGAAGAAAAAAGGAAATTTCCTGTCTCAAAAGCAGGAGAGGAAAATAAAATAGTGAAAATATGGAGTGAAAAAAGGAAATTTCCTCTCTCAAAAAGGCAGGAGAGAACAACAAAAGAGTGAAAACGGGAAGTGCAAAAAGGGAAATTTCCAGTCTCAGAACCAGGAAAGGATGACAAAAAAAGTGAAAGCATGAAATAAAAAAGGGGAATTTTGCCTTGCTGACCTTCTGCACCTGCACCTTCACCATGCGGGGCTGCGGCTGCGGCCGCGCTCCGGGCGCGGGGGCCCCGAAGCGGCCGGGCCAGGCCACGCGCCGGGCCCGCGGCTCGGGGATGTCGTAGGCGCCCGGCCTGCGGGGCAGGAAATCATTTATTTGTGCTTAATTGGTTAATTATGTGTTTGTTTCGTGGTTAATTGTTTGTTTATGTATTTATTTCGTGGTTAGTTGTGTGTTAGCGGTGTTTTAGGGATGGTCTGGGTTGAGGTAAAATGGCGGAAGAAGCGTGAGGTAAAATGTCCGCCAGGGTTGTGGATGTTCTAAAATGGCCTAATGGTAACAAAAATATTCCAAATTAACCTGAGTATTCTAATATTAACATTAAAATATTTGAATGTTATGCAAAATATTCCAATATTATTTGAAATATCCCAGTATTATCCAAAATATCCTAATGGTAACTAAAAAAATTTCAATGTGAAGCTGAGTGTTCCAATATTAAGCAAGATATTTTAATGTTATCAAAAATGTTTCAATATTATTTGGAATATCCCAGTATTATACAAAATATCCTAATGGTAACTAAAAAATAGCAATATTAGGCTGAGTGTTCTAATATTAAGCAGGATATTTTAATGTTATGCAAAATATTCCAATATTATTTGAAATATCCCAGTAAACAATATTATTTTAAATATCCCAGTATTATCCGAAATATCCTAATGGTAACTAAAAAAATCTAATATTGACCTGAGTATTCTAATATTAAGCAAGATATTTTAATGTTATGCAAAGTATTCCAATATTATTTAAAATATCCCAGTATCCAATATTATTTGAAATATCTCAGTATTATCCAAAATATCCTAATGTTAACAAAAAAAATTCCAATGTTAATCTGAATGTTCTAATATTAACAAAATAGTTTAATGTTATCCAAAATATTCCTATATTATTTGGAATATCTCAGTATTATCCAAAATGTCTTAATGGTAATAAAAATATTCCAGTATTAACCAAAATATCCCAGTGTTAATCAAAATGTCCCAATGTTAACCAAGATATTCCAATATTAACCAAAATATCCCAATATTAACCAATATTTTTTTAGATCTAAAGCTTCTTTTTTGGAGATAAAAAAACCTCCTTTTTGGAGACAAAACCCCGTTATTTTGGTGACAAAAAACTTATTTTGTGAGACATAAAAAACTCCTTTTTGGAGATAAAAAGCATCTTCTTGGAGATAAAGACTATTTTTAAAAAAATTTACTTTATTTTGTTTTATTTTATTTTATTTTATTTTCTATTTTATTTATTTTATTTTAATTTTATTTTCTATTTATTTTATTTTATTTTATTTTATTTTTTATTTTTTATTTTAATTTAATTTTTATTTTATATTTTTTATTTTATTTTATGTGTGTCTTATTTTATTTTAATGTTGTTTTATGTTTTATTTTATTTTATGTTTTATTTTATGTATGACCCCAAATTCCCACCCCAAATTCCACATTCCTGCCCAAAATTCCCACCCAAGACTCCACATTCCCACCCAAAATTCCACATTCTCACTCCAAATTCCACATTCCCAACCAAAATTCTACATTCCCACCCCACATTCCCGCCCAAAATTCCCACCCAAAACTCCACATTCCCACCCATTCCCGCCCCAAATTCCAGCCAGGCCATGGCACAGCCGGGCTGGGGAATATTTTGGCTGCTTCTTCCATATTTTTTCACTGCTTTTTGTCTGCTCCCCCCCCCACCCCCCTTTTTTTTGCTTGTTTTTTGCCTGCTTTTCCCCTGGTTTTTTGCTGTTTTCCCCCTGATTTTTCCCCTCTTTTCCCCCTGTTTTCCCCTCTTTCCCCCCTCCCGTCGCTCCCTCACCTGCTCCCCGTGCTGGAAGCGCGGCGCCGTCCTGGCTCCCACGGCGTAGCCCCGGCTGCTCAGGGGCCGCCTGCTCTCCCAGGGCTGCAGGACGCTGCTCTGCGTTTGGGGCCAAAACCATTCCCTGACATTCCTTAAAGGCACCTCTGCAGGGCAGAACTACCTGAGCAGCAAGTGTGGTTCCTAACACAGTTATTCCTAATTAGTCCCTTAATTTCTGGCTATTGCAGAACCTCAAGGATCGGTTGGGAAAGGAGATCATTCCTTTTTCCAGGAAAATTTCCTTTTTCCATCCGGCAGTGGGTTTGCATGAGCAGAACTACCTGAGCAGCAAATGTGATTCCTAACAGAGTAATTCCTAATTATTCCCTTAATTTCTGACTGCTGTAGAGCCTTGAGCACCAGTTGGAAAAGGAGATCATTCCTTTTTCTAAGAAAATTTCCTTTTTCCATCTTGCAGTGGGTTTGCATGAGTAGCAGATACTTTTCCTATTAAATTTATTCCTAATTATTCCACTATTCCGATTAAATTTATTCCTAATTATTGCCTTAATTTCTGACTATTCCAGAACCTCAAAGATCAGTTGGGAAAGGAGATAATTCCTTTTAGCAGGAAAATTTCCTTTTTCCATCCTGCAGTGGGTTTGCAGGGGCAGTAGATACTTTTCCTATTAAACTTATTCCTAATAATTCCCTTAATTTCTCACTATTCCAGAGCTTGGAGTAAAGGAGGGAATTCCCTTTTCCAGGAGCATGTGGCACATCTCCCAGCAGGTTTGCAGGGCAGAATTATCTGAGCAGGAAATGTTATTCCTAATAGAGTTATTCCTAATTATTCCCTTAATTTCTGACTATTACCTCAAGGATCAGTTGGGAAAGGAGATAATTCCTTTTTCCAGGAAAATTTCCCTTTTCCATCCTGCAGTGGATTTGCATGAGCAGCAGATACTTTTCCTATTAAACTTATTCCTAATAATTCCCTTAATTTCTCACTATTCCAGAGCTTGGAGTAAAGGAGATCATTCCCTTTTCCAGGAGGATGTGGGACATCCTGCAGTGGGTTTGCAGGGCACGAGTGCAGCATGAAAAGCAAATACTATTCCTATTAAACTTATTCCTAAGTTTAAATTTTTTAACCTTTTTCCAGGAAAATTTCCCTTTTCCATCCTGCAGTGGGTTTGCATGAGCAGTAGATACTTTTCCTATTAAACTTATTCCTAATAATTCCCTTAATTTCTCACTATTCCAGAGCTTGGAGTAAAGGAGGGAATTCCCTTTTCCAGGAGGATGTGGGACATCCTGCAGTGGGTTTGCAGGGCACGAGTGCATGATACTTTTCCTATTAAACTTATTCCTAAATTTAAATTTTTAATTTTTTTTATTCCTAATAATTCCCTTAATTTCTGACTCTTACAGAGCCTGGAGTAAAGGAGGGAATTCCCTTTTCCAGGAGGACGTGGCACAGCTCCCAGCGGGTTTGCAGGGCAGGAGTGGCCCCGTACCTCCTGCTGCTCCCACCCCAGACCCCGAATGAGGGGAGAGCTCACCTCCGGCCCCAGGTAGGAGCCCGGCCCCAGCCGGGGGCTGCCCCTCAGCCCCAGCATCTCGATGCCCAGCCTGTCTGGGGCACAGTGGTAGGGGAACATTTTCCGGTCTTGAGTCGTCCCGAAGGAGATGAGCTTGGCCACAGCTGGGGACGGGCACAGGGAAATGCCAGAGGTGGGGTAGACAGGGAAAAAAAATGAGAGAAAAGAGAAAAAAGGGTGAGCACGAGCTGCTCTCTGCCTTCACCCCCTGGCCTGGGGTGTTTGGGAGGGGTCTGCCCTTTGCTCAAAGCCTCGAGGGGCCGAGAGCAATCAGGGATTTGTCTTTCCAGATTTATTTTTCCCAAGAATGACAGGTTTGTCCTTGCCCTGGATATTTGGGAGGGGTCTGCCCTTCACCTGTGCCTGCCCAAAGCCACCAGGGGCTGAGAGGAGTGAGAGATTTGTCTTTCCAGATTTATTTTTCCCAAGAATGACAGGTTTGTCCTTGCCCTGGATATTTGGGAGGGGTCTGCCCTTCACCTGTGTCTGCTCAAAGCCACGAGGGGCTAAGAGGAATCAGGGATTTGTCTTTCCAAACAGATTTATTTTTCATAAGGGATGACAGATTTGTCCTTGTTCTGGATATTTGGGAGGGGTCTGCCCTTTGCCCAAAGCTACCAGGGGCTGAGAGGAATCAGGGATTTTTCCTTCCCAAGGAATGACAGGTTTGTCCTTGCCCTGGATATTTGGGAGGGGTCTGCCCCTTGCCTGTGCCCAAAGCCTCACGGGGCTGAGAGGAATCAGGGACTTGTCTTTCCAAACAAGCTCTGGGTCTGCTGGTAGATCAAACCAGCACTGGGAGAGAAAAGAAACGATGGGAAGGATTCCACTGGTTGATGAATGGGAAAAAAAATTGCTTTTGAAAATCAACTTTAGGTTTGCTGGTAAAGGAAATTAGGCATTGAAAGATGAATGGGGAAGAAAAACCCCTAAATTCCATAAGAATTAAAAATGAAAAGGGAGGGCTGTACATTAGAGGGGATCTCTGGTATCAGGTGTTTTGGGAAATCTGAACCTCTCAAGTACCTCAGAAATGGGGAAAGAGAGAGGGAAACTGGGATGAAAAGGAGGATGCATCCTCCAAAAGTTGGAGAGACCCCAGGGAATGCTTTCATTTCCTGGCAGCGCTGATTCTCCCCAGCCTGAGCAGGGAATGGGGAATGGAGAAGCTCCTGCTGGCAGCAGGGGGTGAAGGAGAAGCAGCCCCGGTGCCCCCTCCCTGCCCGGCTCTCACCTTTGGGGTCGGGCCGCGCTGCCATCCCGGCCTGGCACGGGGTGGCACTGAGCAGGGAGTGGCACAGAGCAGGGGTGGCACGGATCAGGGGTGGCACTGAGCAGGGGGTGGCACGGATCAGGGGTGGCACAGAGCAGGGGTGGCACTGAGCAGGGGGTGGCACGGATCAGGGGTGGCACAGAGCAGGGGTGGCACTGAGCAGGGGGTGGCACGGATCAGGGGTGGCACAGAGCAGGGGTGGCACTGAGCAGGGGGTGGCACGGATCAGGGGTGGCACAGAGCAGGGGTGGCACTGAGCAGGGGGTGGCACGGATCAGGGGTGGCACAGAGCAGGGGTGGCACTGAGCAGGGGGTGGCACGGATCAGGGGTGGCACGGAGCAGGGGGTGGCAGCAGGGGGTGGCAGAGCAGGGACAAGCCCAGGGTTGGGCATTTCCCTCTGGAATGCGCCGGGCAGGCTCCGGGAGCAGCCCGGGCTTGTGAGGTCACAGCCCTGGCCCTGTGACAGCAGCTCCTGCCCCGTTTCCATGGCACTGCCAAGGTGGGGCAGCAAAAAATGCCCGGCTGGGACCAAATCCAGGCCCTTCCCCGAGCACGAGTGTGAGTGCTATGGATACAGACTGCAATATTGGCTTTTTGCAAATGTTAAAATGCATTTTATATGCGTGATGTCAAAGTAACTTTGTTATAAAAATACAGTTTTTATTTCTGTTGTTAATTAAGTTCAGACATAGTAAGGAAATGGCTGATACACATTATAGATACATAGTATAATGTTGGCTTTTCGCAAATATTAAAATGGATTTTGTATCTGTGATGTTAAAGTAACTTTGTTATAAAAATAGAGTCTTTATTTCTGTTGTTAATTAAGCTTGGACATAGTAGTGAAATAGCTGATATGTGTTATAGATACATGCTATAATATTGGCTTTCTGCAAATATTAAATTACTTTCTATATATTTGATGTTAAAGTAACTTTGTTATAAAGACACAATTTTCATTTCTGTTGTGAATTAAGTTCAGCCACAGTGAAACAGAGAATAGTGAATTTGGTGTTGAAATGCCTGCTGGGCTGGGAAAATGCTACAGGCTGATGGCATTAAAAGATAATTTTGAAAAGGTATTTAAGGGGTATCCCCGAGGATAACAGGGTGACCCAATAACCTTTGTCCTTGTCTCCTATTGTTCTTTATTAAATTTTTTTACATTTTTCACAAGAGAGTGAATGTGTTTTTCACACCTTTGCTCTGTGGTCTTGTCTCCTGTTATCCTTGATTAAACTTTTTAATTTTCACAGGAGAGTGAATGTGAAAATCTCCTTGTCTCCTACTGTCCTTTATTAAACTTTTAATTTCCACAGGAGAGTGACAGTGTTTTTCACCTGAACATCCTGGGAGAATCAGGAAGTGACAAAATACAAAGGACGAAACAAGCTGAAGCAGGAAGTTGTTGGCTTTTAATTTCCACAGGAGAGTGACAGTGTTTTTCACCTGAACATCCTGGAGAATCAGGAAGTGACAAAATACAAACGAGCTGAAGCAGGAAGTTGTTGCTTTTGAGAAAAGCTTTATTGAATCATTGTGTGCAATGGGATCAGAGGGATCACTGGGCTGGGTCAGGATCGGGATCAGGATCCAGGATCCAGGATCAGGATAGGGATCAGGATCGGGATCAGGATTGGGATCAGGATCTGTCACCGGCCCTGCAGCTCCTCCTGCACTCCCACTGCCACCTGCACCCCCAGCAGCTGCAGGGACGTCAGGACTGAGCTGTGCAGCCTGAAAAAAAGCAGGATTTTCCTCGGTGTGAGGGATGAGGAATGCCATGGCTCACACAATTAGAAGGCAAATGTCATGTAAAGCAATTAGGAGAAGTTTTATAGATTTATAGTTATGTTTTACCATCCCTTGTGTTGTTACCAGGGGGTGGGCTGGGTTTGGGACATTTGGGAGGGTGGGATTGTTACTATGGCAACAGCTGACCTGCAATCACGATTTAAGGAAGTGATCCCCACCACTGGACAGCAAAGAAGGAGCTGATGGACAGAACTTTGGAAAGAGCTAAAGGGTTAAATGGCAAAACCTCCATTGTGTGGGTGAGCACATGCTGGGGAAAAAAACCTTTAATATTTTCTCTATTCAGTCTTGCGTTATATTTTTGATAAGGTTTTAATAAACCTTATACATTTTTTGTGAGCGAGATACACATTGGGGAAGGGATGACGTTTGCAATGCCCCCCTGCACCCCCCACCGTGCCCTTTGGGGCACAGCCCGTGTCCCTCCTGGCACTCACTGCACGTTCACAGCCCCAGGCCCCTCTTCAGCGTGGAGATCAGCGGGTATTTGCCCTGGTGGCAGAAGGTGCCAGTGAAGTCATCCAGGTCGATGGTCCACACCATGGCTCCTCCAAAGTTGTTCTTCTTCAGCCAGTCCACCTGTGGGGAGGAGAATCCCAGTGAGCCCAGGAGCTGATCCCACAGGAGGCTCTGGTCCCACCCCAGCACGGCCCCGCTGCCCAGACCTTGAGGCCAAAGCTCTTCTCGTTGTCGTAGCCGACCCACTCGCTGCCCTTGTAGGCGTAGGGGACATCCTCGGGGGCATCCCAAGTCTGGGTGGCTCCAGAGCTCAGGAAGGTGCAGATCTGGGAGAAAAAACAGTGGGAATGTAAGCCAGGTTAGGAATTCAGTGCTGCCCTGGCAGTGCCAGCAGTGTCTGGGCTGCCCTGGCGGTGCCAGCAGTGTCTGGGATATCCCTGCAGTGTCCGGGCTGTCCCTGCAGTGTCTGGGTGTCCTGGCAGTGCCAGCAGTGTCTGGGCTGTCCCTGCAGTGTCCGGGTGTCCTGGCAGTGCCAGCAGTGTCTGGGCTGTCCCTGCAGTGTCTGTTCCATCCTGGCAGTGCCAGCAGTGTCTGTGCTGCCCTGGCAGTCAGGTGAGCCCCCCACACACCTCGTAGTAAGCCAGGAGCCCGGCCTCCCTGGTGTAGGGTCCGGCGGGGCCGGGCCCGGAGCTGGGGGCGCCGATGGCGGTGTTGGAGGGGCTCTGCAGGGTGAAGCTCTTCCCGTAGGTTGGGAATCCCACCAGGAGCTTCTGAGCTGGGGCGCCGTTGTTCTTCCAGTAGTTCATGGCGTACTCCTGGAAAAGGCGGCGCGGTTCAGGCCGGGCTGGGGCACAGGCAGCCCCGGGCAGAGGCCCCCAAGGCACTCACAACGCTGAGGGTGCTGCCGCTGGCGAACAGGGGGCTGTTCTCGCCCGTGGAGCCGTCCCAGGGCCCGTGGAAGTCGTAGGTCATGACGTGGATGTAATCCAGGTACCTGCAGGAGCGGGGCTGTGTCCTCACCTGGGGCTGCCCACCACCCCCACAGCCCCTGCACTCGGGGTCCCTCAGGGGCTTTCCCTGCCAGGAGCCCCCCCCAGTGCCACCAGGGACCCCAGGCTGGTCACTCACTTGCCCAGCTCGGCGATCTCGTAGCCAGACTGGATGGTGGAAAGCCCTCCGGCCACAGCGGCGGTGACCATGAGCCGGGGCCTGTTGGTCTGCCTGGCTTCCTGCTCGAAGGCTGCCAGCAGCTCCTGAGGGATCCAAGGCACAGGAATCACCGGGGGGCTCGGGGCTGGGGCTTTGCAGCCACCCAGGGCTCACAGGCCAGAGCTGTGGCCAGCAGAGCCTGCAGCCAAGCCCACCTTAACCAGCACGGTGAAGAGAGACTTGTCCTGGGCAGGGCTGCCCCTGGAGCCGGGGTATTCCCAGTCCAGGTCCAGCCCGTCGAATCCGTACTGGCGCAGGAACCTGACCACGGAGTTGATGAAGGTCTGGCGGTTCTGGGGAGTGGAGACCATGGTGGAGAACCTGGGCAAGCAGAGCAGGATGGAGGTGGAATTGGAATCCAGACACTTCCTCCTTTCCCTCCCTCTTCCAGGAGTCATTATTGGAAAGACCTGGTTAGAACTCACTTCTGTGTGCCAAAATTCCATCCTCCAATGGCCAGCAGGGTCTTCAGGTTCCTGTTCCTGCAAGGAAGGGACAGGACCCAAAGTGACCCCAAGGGTTTGGTGTCACCATGCCCTTTGCAGCCTGGGTCCATTGGTGGGAAAGGCCAAGGGGCAATAGGCAGCACCCAGAGCCACTGTCCTCGAGCTCAGGGGACAGCGCTGTCCCCATGCCCTGCCCAGAGGGAGCAGAGCCCTGCTGAGGCTCCCGGCACTCACTGGTTCTTGAGGCCGTTGAAGGACTTGTACAGGGTCTCGTCGTTCCACTCGTAGGTGGTGATCTCGTTGTTGTTCATGCCGGCAAAGGCGTAGATCAGGTGGCTGCACAGGTTGGGGTCGATGTTCTCAGGGGTGTATCGCCCCTCACCGGGCCTGTACTGGGCCCAGTTGGTGAAGTAGCAGGTCAGCACATAGGCAGTGCCTGGCCCCGCTCGGGCCCGGCCGGCCCGGGAGCAGCGCGGCGCCAGCGCCGGCTCCTGCGGCAGCTGCCCGGGCCCGGCTGCACCTACCGAGCTGGGCGTTCAGCAGCAGCGCCAGGCCTGGGGAGCAAGGAAACAACACGGGGTCACTGCTCGCTCTCACAAGTCCTAACCTCTCCAGCAAGCTCTGCTCCCAAGCTCAGGCACGAGAGTTCCGCTACAATTTCTCCAAGCATTTCATTTCTCCGGTGATTTCAAGTAAAAGCACAGAGAAGAACCCAAACAGATGCCAAGAGAGTCATTTGGGTTTTAGGTTTAGTCTGAAAGCAATTTCAATTGCAGCCCGCAATGAACTCTGTCCATGCTCAAAGCACAACAAGAATCATTTGGGTTTTAGGTTTAAGTCCAAAAGCACATTTCAATTGTATCGACCCTCACCGGGCCTGCACTGGGCCCAGCTGGTGAAGTAACCGGTCAGCACATAGGCAGTGCCTGTGGGGAGACAGCGGCCATGCAGCCCGCAATGAACTCTGTCCATGCTCAAAGCACAACACATCCCCGACCACAGCAGCAGCGCTAAAGAAGAGAAATTTCCCTCCCCAGAGGAAATTGGGAAACCTCTGACAGAAAAGAGAGAGCAGCGATTGTATCCCGCAGCCCCGGGCAGGCGGCAGAGCGGCGGTGGCAGAGCCTGCAGCCCTGCTCGGGGGCTCAGCGCTGCAGCACTCACCGGTGAGCAGAGTGAGCTTGGCCATCTTGGACCAGACTGATGTGCTCGGGCTCTCGCCCGCTTTTATACCCTGCTCCTCTCTGCTGCCAGCGTGGGATCAGCAGCGATGGACAAACATTACGAAACCTGGCACAGGGCACTGCCACCAAATCTGACACCAGCACAATGGCCCGGGCACTCCAGCGGCAGGGGTCACTGCTGCAGGGCTGTGCCACGTCCTGCTGCTGCAAGGGCAGATAAAGAGCGGGATTAGATTGCCTGGATTGTTCAAATGTTGTTCGAACAACAGCTTTGTGTCCCCGCAGGGACCGATGGCTGCAGCGTGTCACCTTGTGCTGTCCTTGAGCCCTTCCCAGGGGCTGGCACTGCCAAGCCCGAGCTTTGGCCTTTGCCAGGCCTGGCTGTCCTTGCTGGGAGCGGCCCCAGGCAGGACTGAGCGGGCTCTGGCTCCAGCTCTGCCCCTGCTGGAGCCTCCGGGGGCTGGGCAGCTCGGGACAGAGGCACCTTGGCGCTCGGAGCTGAGCTGGGGGCTCCTCAGGGAAGCAGACACCCGGAGTCCCATCACTAAAGCAAAAACCACATCGCTTTTTACTGAGTCATTCTCCACCTGATAAAGAAAAATTCTGTAAGAAGCGTTGTTTTTGTCATCTTCCTTCCCTAATCTCCTGACACCCACGGTCACAAGGAGAAGTGGGAGGACAACGCAGCGGAAGCTGATTCTGATTCACTTGGTTTCCCCCAACCCTTGTGCCACACCTCTGTTGTGGCAGTGCCAGCGTTGATGATCCCAGCAGCCATGGAATGGGCAGGATGAGAGTTTTAGCAGGAAGATGCAGCAGGAAAAGCCCAGAGTGGTAAAATCTCTCAGCAACACAACACTGGAACAGATGGAAGGTCCCTGTCTGCTCTTTTTAATTGGAATTCTTTCAGCAAGGACCAATTCTTGTGCCCTTTGTTGCCTTCCAGCACTCCCAGGGAGTCCATGGCAAACCACCTTTGTCAGAACAGGAAAAGGGCAGGAAAAGTCCTGAAGGAGAAGTCCTGAAGGAAAACTCCAGGATTTTTTCCCCCCACATGAAAACAATCCGTGTCCTTGAGCCTACCCCAAATGCTCATTTCCACACCCAAACACCTTCCCTGGACAGCGGAGCTGAAAATGCTCCAGAGGTCACTGAGGGCAGGATTTTCCAGATCTATCCTGGTTGAATTTGTACCCTGGGACTTTATCAACCAAGAAAAACATTGGAAAATTACTCCTTGAGGATGTTGTCCTGCTATCAGCCATATCCCACCCCGTGCCTGCACCAAACCCCAAAGCTCAGGCTGGCACGATTTAATCTGCAGGTCAGCCAGCATCTGATACAGGCTTCCAGTCATCCAAGGCTGGGTGACCTCCTGGAAAGTCACCTTCATGTCACCCCACAAGGAATTAAACCTCCCAGTGCAGGGATACAGCCGTGTCCCCGCTCCTGAGTGGGGAAAAGGGAAGAAATCCTCAGTGTCCTCACACAGGGGGAGAGCTCGGAGTCTCCATCAGGACAAAAGATGGAAATAAAATGTGGAAAGGATATTTTGAGACATTCAGCATATGGGGCTTCACTACAGGAAAAATGGGAATACTCAGCAACACAGGGGTGTCTCAGTTTGGGAAAGAACTGAGCAGGAAGAGGAGGGGAGAAATGTGAGAGGAAAATTAAGTGGCCTCATCTTTTGGGGTGTCCCTTGTGGAATTTAACCTCCAAGAAATAAAGAAACTTCCTCCGTTCCCTGAGGAGCCCCCAGCTCAGCTCCGAGTGCCAAGGTGCCTCTGTCCCGAGCTGCCCAGCCCCTGGAGGCTCCAGCAGGGGCAGAGCTGGAGCCAGAGCCCGCTCAGTCCTGCCTGGGGCCGCTCCCAGCAAGGACAGCCAGGCCTGGCAAAGGCCAAAGCTCGGGCTTGGCAGTGCCAGCCCCTGGGAAGGGCTCAAGGACAGCACAAGGTGACACGCTGCAGCCATCGGTCCCTGCGGGGACACAAAGCTGTTGTTCGAACAACATTTGAACAATCCAGGCAATCTAATCCCGCTCTTTATCTGCCCTTGCAGCAGCAGGACGTGGCACAGCCCTGCAGCAGTGACCCCTGCCGCTGGAGTGCCCGGGCCATTGTGCTGGTGTCAGATTTGGTGGCAGTGCCCTGTGCCAGGTTTCGTAATGTTTGTCCATCGCTGCTGATCCCACGCTGGCAGCAGAGAGGAGCAGGGTATAAAAGCGGGCGAGAGCCCGAGCACATCAGTCTGGTCCAAGATGGCCAAGCTCACTCTGCTCACCGGTGAGTGCTGCAGCGCTGAGCCCCCGAGCAGGGCTGCAGGCTCTGCCACCGCCGCTCTGCCGCCTGCCCGGGGCTGCGGGATACAATCGCTGCTCTCTCTTTTCTGTCAGAGGTTTCCCAATTTCCTCTGGGGAGGGAAATTTCTCTTCTTTAGCGCTGCTGCTGTGGTCGGGGATGTGTTGTGCTTTGAGCATGGACAGAGTTCATTGCGGGCTGCATGGCCGCTGTCTCCCCACAGGCACTGCCTATGTGCTGACCGGTTACTTCACCAGCTGGGCCCAGTGCAGGCCCGGTGAGGGTCGATACAATTGAAATGTGCTTTTGGACTTAAACCTAAAACCCAAATGATTCTTTTGGCATCTGTTTGGGTTCTTCTCTGTGCTTTTACTTGAAATCACCGGAGGAATGAAATGCTTGCAGAAATTGTAGCGGAACTCTCGTGCCTGAGCTTGGGAGCAGAGCTTGCTGGAGAGGTTAGGACTTGTGAGAGCGAGCAGTGACCCCGTGTTGTTTCCTTGCTCCCCCCAGGCCTGGCGCTGCTGCTGAACGCCCAGCTCGGTAGGTGCAGCCGGGCCCGGGCAGCTGCCGCAGGAGCCGGCGCTGGCGCCGCGCTGCTCCCGGGCCGGCCGGGCCCGAGCGGG